GTCCAAGGTGGCTGCTTGGGCTCCAGCCATCTCAGATGTGTGCAGCCAGCAGAAAGGAGAAGGGGCAGAAGGAAGGGGCACGGGCCAGCAGTCTTTTAAGGAGTGGCCCAGAAGCTGTCTCACGCCAGTTCTGCTCAGTCTGTGTTGGCTGAGACAGTCCCTGCAAACCCATCTGTGGTAGAGGCTGGGGGACGTGGTCATCATAAAAGATGCTCTTGTGTCCAGATAGAACATGGGTCTCAACTGATCAAGGACGAAGGCAAAATGTGACACCTCTCCCACCCGCACTGGATCCCCTCTCTTCCTTTACCCTCTAACCCACCCTGAGCACAATGGCCAGGGGATCTCTAGACACAGTTTGTACATAAGGTCGCAGGTTCGGCGAGTAGAAACACAGGATTCCCAGTTGAATGGGAGTTTCAATAAACGACGTGTAAGGGTTCCAGCCTACGCATGGCCTGAGCGATACTCAGGGTCTAATACTGGGAAAGTGACTTGTCGGTCTCAGGAAGAGGCGAAGCTCTCTGGGGGGCTGACTGCAGGCCTGTCCTCCTGCTGACCTGTGCGTGTCTTTGCTTCCTGAACAAGTGCCCTCTGGATGCCCAGAGGACCACGGCATCTGTACCTCTACATACTGGGGACAGTGGGGGTGACAGATGAGCTGGCCACCCACAAATAAGGGGCGAGGCTGCAGCACCTGGTGCCCTCTGCATCTGGGTTGGCTCCTGCGGGCCCACAGGGCCATCTCCGACTCGGGTCTGCGTCCCCTGCGAGCCCACGTCTGTGCTCGGTGTCCCGCGGCTCGCAGCGGGTTAAGCCAGCCTCGGCGGCGTTGGGAGCTGGAGCCCACAGAGTCCTTCCTGACAATGAAGCTAATGAGTCCCTCCCTGCGTCTTCTCCTGCACAATAACATTTAATCATCGTTTGCACCTCGACGAGGAGTTGGCGGCAGATGCGATTCTGCGAGAGTGGCGGTTTCTGTGTGGCACCTCCTGCTGCCCAGAACACCTGCCCATCGGGGGCTGGGCGGACTGCACCCCGGGGGTGGTGTGCGGCCACGTGCCACGAATCCGACTCCATCCACGTGTGGGAGACGGGCTTTGGAGGCACGTGTCATTTGTGTGCGTGTTTGTCTGTGGAGTCAGGAGATGTGGCCCAGGCTGTGGGGACCATGGAGGGCCTGCCCAAAGGTGCAGGGGACAGAGGTGGCTAGGTGTCTGAGCACAAGTGGTCCAGAAGTGGAATCATGCCTGAATTGAGGGTTTGTGACAGACTTCCTGAAGCTATGTGTGCTTTCTCCCGCGTGCACACAAATGTGTCATGGATGAATGCACAGAGGTCTATGTAGTGTGTACGAGCACAACTGGGAACACACACATGCATGTGCTGTGCATTTGAGTGGAGTTTCTGGGGGCACACGTGTGTCATGTCCAAATGGTAAAGTATGTTTGCTCGTGGGCACACCTGTCCACACATGTAGGGGAACACGCCTGGGGAGGCGGGTATGTGCTTCGTGTAGAAACACGGGTGTCCACGTGAGAGTTTGCCCTGTGGTGGCACGTGACCACATTTGCAGACCTGCAGGGACGCACCTTGTATGTGTAGTGAACATGCACACGTCTGCATGGTACGCTGGGGGGGGACACATCTTGGTGCCACGTGTGCGTGTGTCACGTACTAGCATGCTCCTGTGCCCGTGTGCATTCACTGAAGCGTGAGGCCTTCGCATCAGCATGAGGGCTGACAGGGTTACATTTTTCAAAGGCTGGGCGGCCAGTGACAGAGCCGGCCTGAGCGCGCTTGCTGGCAGGAGGTAAGTGCAGCTGCCGAGTCGTGACCTGGGGGTGGCTGGCGATGACGGCTGGGTGACGGATGCGGGCGCTCAGCCGCCCCCTGTGACAGCAGCCCGCTCTCTGAGCCGCCTGCATCAGGAGGTGGGGGGTTGGCCTTGACCTCTGTGCTGGGCGCCGGCTCCCCTCCTCCCGGGTCGTGTTCGCAGCCTCGTGAGGATGCCCACAGAGAGGCACACCCAGGCTGGGCGGACTCGCCAGCCCACTCCTCGGCTCTGCCACCATCGGGTGCATGTCCCCTTCTCCCCAGGGGCTTCTCTCCTGTCCACCCCACTCTGCATACTCCACCTGGAGTCTGGTTTTCTAGGTCCCTGCAGAGCCCCTGTGGCGGGCGGGAGGCGCGTAAAACGGTCCCAGGCCCCTATATCTCCTCCTCCTAAGGGAGGGCTAAGAAAAGCACCTGCTTAAAGTTCAACAAGACCCGTTATGCAAAGGGCCAGGCCCCGCGACCACAGAGTCCTCTGTCTGTGAGTTTGACCTTCATATGTATTAATTATGTACAGTGCTCAGTACCACGTGCATGCAGCAGGTGCCACATAAGTGTGCAGTCCCCCTCCTCCTCCCCGTCATTGCCATTCAGACCCTTGGTTCTGGAATTCTCCGTCAACTGTCCATCCGTTCTTGCTCAGGACCCTGGATGGTCTTAACCCACGATAACGACTGTAACGGGGACAGTAAGGGACGGGTCTCTTTCTTACCGTGTTCCCAGCTGCCTTTTAAGGAGGCAGGCTCTTCGTCCTCGAGCTCCTTGGTGGAACTGGGTGCACCCAGCTGGAGCCTGGAGCCGGGGCGGCCTGTTCTCTGACCAGGCAGAGGATTTGGCTCTCCTCCTGGGGGACCGCATGGGGCCAAGGAGGCGGTGGCTGAAGGCTGTGCGCTCCCCCGCAGCCCCTTCTCCATGGCACCACATCATCAGAAAAGCCCACCCCCACTACTCCTCACCCAGGATCCAGCCCTGGGGCTCCGTGTGCTCTGCACCCTACCCACCCGCCTTTGCAGACTCCTCTCCTGGCTCAGCTCACACGATCTCATAGGCATCCTTTGAGACCCAGCCAGAGTCACATCCTCCGGGAAGCCCTCCCGGATTTTTCCCCTTTCTCAGTGTTCTAGTTCATTCTGTGACATCTCAAACAAACACTATTGTTGGCTGTTTCTGTCCCTGACACTCTCCCTCCCCAGCTAGGCCTTGAGCTGCAGGAGGCAGGACTGACTACCGGCCATGCAAGCTGCCGCTTTCTCACCAGAGCATCGGCTGGCAGTGCCTAACTTAGCCGGCAAGGCACCAGGACACGGTGGACCTTGGCAAATGTGGAGGGAATGAATGAAGGCTCTCTGGGAGCATAAGTAAGGCTGAGGTACGTGTATGGAGCCCTTGCCTTGGGCCAGGAAGGCACCAGACCAGAGCTTATCATTCACATCTCCTTTAAGCCTCCCGAACCCTTTAGGGAAGAAGCGTCATCATCTCCACTTTACAGGTGAGGAAACCGAGGCTCAGCCACGGAGGAGGCTGATGGAGGTGCCCAGCTAGCAGGAGCTGGGACTCACATCAGATGGATGCGAAGGAAGGAGCCACCCCGGGTGGACTAGGCAGGAAGACAGATGGCCAACACCTCATAATCATGGCTTGGAATCGGAAACTCTTGAGGCGACTTTGTGCAGGGTTCCTGAACTGGGGTTCAGGGACGGAAACTCATGAGTTTCCAGATCCAACAGACAAGTCCCCCAGTGCCCACTGGTTCTGACCTCTCTGTCTAGGTCCAGGAGCTGTCCAGCTTGTCTTCTCTTGACGCTCCTGCCATGTTGATGTGACCAGAGACTCTGGAAGGCTCCACAGTCACCGGGGACACCCCTCTTTCCCTCTCAGGGTAGGATGGGGAACTGAGAGTTGGGACCAATTCATTCTCCCTTGGGGACCTAGGGAAAAGGGGAGGCGTCTGGGGCCACGGAGACAATTCAGAACTGGAGGCAGACACACTGGGCTTCTAATAAAGACAGAAACAATAATAGTAACAAAGGCTAGCATTTATTGAACACCTACTATGTGCCAGGCACTGCCCTAACCACTGGACACGTCTGAACCCTTCTTATCCTCACAATTCTTCGAGGTAGGTTCTGTTGTTAACCTCATTTGACAGATGAGGAAACTGGGGCCCAGAGAAACGAGGTGACTTGCCCAAGGCCAGGCAGCCGGCTCGTGCCAGAGGCTGCACCGTTCGCTGGCTGGGTGTCCTTGGACAGGTCACAACCCCTTCTCTGGGGGGCCTTCCCCATCTGGCACCTGCAGGATCCCACCTCGTGGTTTCTGTGACGACTAAGAAGGTCTCCACACAGCGTCCTAGCACACAGTAGGTGCTTAATAAACGAACAGCCCTTCTTTCCTCTTCCCTTGGATGCGAGGAAACCTGGGAGGGGCGCGTGTCGGCATCGTCCTCGCTGTAGTGTCCACGCCAGGACGAGCGAGCTGCCCGATCCCACGCCCCGACGCCCCCTCCATCTCCTTTGCTAACCCGGAGCCACGCAGCGCCTGGTCTCCTTCCCTTTAATGACGATGGCCATCACTGCGCACCGCTGG